TTAACATATTTAGTTGTGAAACCTAGGGTCACAAACCTCTCATCAATCAACAAAATATATATATATATATATATATATATATATATATATATATATATATATACATATATATATATACACACACACACACACACACATATATATATATATATATAAATATATATCTATATATATATACACACACACACACACACACACACACACACACACATATATATATATATATATATATATATATATATAGGTAATCCATAGTGAGTTCTAGTTCTGGTGTTTAAAAAACAGTCCTCGCTGAATAGTAACAGAGCTAAAATGTATATACTAATTAATAGCAAATATACATCTTTTTCGATATCGTTATGTGCAATTCTCTATATATACACATACATACACATCAGTGAGACGGCTGAAAAATTCTAGACGCTTTAAGAATGACCTTGAGCCATAAAACTCGCATGCTACTGTCATATATTCATTTCATAAGTTCAAAAAGTACTGCGCTTTTGAAGTTCATTTTAGCGTTTCAAACACGAAAAAATGATATTATACCATTGATATACACTTTTTGAGTCCGTCTGAGAACTTTTCATCGTCCCCTCTTGCATATATATATATATATATATATATATATATATATATATATATATGATGTATAGATAGATAAATAGGGAGAGAGAGAGAGCGAGAAAGCGATAGACTCCTAGATTATAATGGAAAAGTAACTAATTCAAATTCGAAATTCCAAGAATTGCCGACTCGCAGACCGAACGAGCGATTGAGAGGAATTTCTAACTGATATACCTGTATAAATATTCTTAATGTAAATAACAGCACATATCAATTTACGATAGACATATATATATATATATATATATATATATATATATATATATATATATATAGAGAGAGAGAGAGAGAGAGAGAGAGACCGAATTGTCTACGTATGCGTAATCTTTGTGTCGAACGAATTTGCTTATATTATGTGTTAGCACACTCATCGCGTTAAATAATATGAAAGTAAAAAAAATACAAAATAAAAAAATGCATTTATGGAATACTCAAAACACATAATCCTTCCTTTTATATCTGACAGTTTGTCTCGCAAGATAGATGAAAGCAATCACTTTACATATATATATATATATATATATATATATATATATATATATATATATATTATTATGAATGTGAGTTTGTAACCTAGGTTTCACGCTTTTGCGATTCTCAGACAAACTGATTTCGTTTTTAAAATTTGAATCTATAAAAATAAATCAGTTTGACTGAGGACCTCACAAGCGTGAAGCTTAGGTTTACAAACTCACATCCATACAACTATATATGTTTGCTCTATCACTGATATTAATCGCTTTCCAATAAGTACCGCACATATATAATATATAAATAATATATGTAAATGACACATGTATATATATATATATATATATATATGTGTGTGTATCTGTGTGCGTATATGTTATACAAATATATATATATATATAACCAAGTATATACGGAATAAATTCCAATAACCAACAATTACTATTCTTAAAAGAGTGCTCAATACAGAGTAGAGCGAATATAATTATTTATTTAAAAATTATAACATAAATATTTTATAAAATCACTACAAAATTAGCCATTTTGTTTCAACACTTCTGGTGTCTTATCAAGTGATGATGTTGAATATAGATTCTACAATCTACATTCAACATAATTTTTAAATAAATAATTATATATATATATATATATGTGTGTGTGTGTGTGTGTGTGTGAATTAATGTTGTTAATCCAGCATTTTTATTACTTCAAACGTTACTTTTAGTAGATACCCGTGTTTGAAATAGACGCCTCGTTTTTCTGTTTCTTTTATTTTTAAAGCGTATATATTGCATCTCTCGGCCTCCCTACTCGAAACAATGAAAGAGAATGCAGATCATATTTTTTTTATTAGTTAATCTCGGTTACGTACGCCGATAGGCATAATATATACAGTTTAAAAAAGAAAACTTGGGCTTCATTTTCTTCAAACGCGGTTATCTAGTAAAAATAAATTTCGAAGTAATATATATATATATATATATATATATATATATAAATGGGTGAGGTTTTTTATAAGTGCTACATAAAAATAAACCTACATTGTCTTTAAATACATTGTGTGGAGTTTGCCACGAAATAGTTTTTAAATTTCTAAAAAAAAAAAAGCTAAGCTCCATTACGATGAAATATTCTATTAATTAATTTTTTGGATCATTATAATTTTGAGAAATATTTGAATAATATTTTTATTCCTGTTTTTCTTTCATTTTATTTATCATTTGTTATAAATCTGAACCCAAGTTATATATTACAGTAGTTCCTTAATTATACAGACAACTTACACCAGGGATTTTTTAAAAAGTGTATTTTTTAACTGAATACCTATATAATTGTTTAGAAATTAAAGAAAAAAGTCTTTTTTTTTTTTAAATAAATTTAATATTTTATCACATTTTCAAAC